GAACGTGCCACTTTCAAATACAGAAATTCACACCAAGCATGCAGTAACGCTATTCCTTGGAGTGATGTCCCAGGTGATGCCATTTTTAACCTTTCTTCTATTTAATCAACTAAAAAATCCATTTAAAAAACTATTGCTGTTTCACTTTTCTATTTTGCTTGTTAAAGAGACTGTGTAGTTTTGACACCAAATTTTGTGCTTTGGTTTTAATGTCAATGAGAAGCGTACACCTCAGTTTCAGAGATTTGAGAGAATGTGACAGAGCCTCAGCTGGAATACAAGACTTACCTTTCAACAACTTCTCATCAGTTACGACAACTCACAGAGCATTGCTGGAAATCAAGATTCCCTCTTAAATGCCTCTCTGAAATAAGGACCTGGAAACAAGCTGTGGAAATGGCAGCTCCAGACGAAGGCCATTAGAAGCTGTGCTCTCCAGGGAACCCCTGGAGAAAGAGGACACCCCAAACATTTGCAGGTTCTGGGATATTGATATGAGCAACACAAAATTAGTCTACTTCCTAATTCTACAGAAATAATCATGAGTAAGTTTCTGGAACTTCTCAATCAGGCTAACAAGTGCTGAACGCAGAGTAGTCCTTCCCCGCTGCAAATTTACTGTCCTCTCTGATACAGGAGGTTGGTGGAGATCCGTCAGCCCATCACACCATGCAAATGCAAGGGATGAAGAGGTGAACAGAGAAAGACCAAGTAACGACTGCAGGCAGAGAGGCTGGCAGAGCATCCCATGCCCTAGTGTCGGTTTTCAAACCGGAGAGATCAAGCTCTGCTTGGGAAGGTCCCAAACTGCCAATTGCGAGAAATCCATCCTGTTTCTGTCCTTCAGCACAGCTACCAGCCCATGGCAGAAGTGGGATGCTGAGCCATAGAGCCTTTGGTCTGACAGGAAGCAACCAGGCTTACATTCGGAAGTTAGGACATCCCTTGGGAGAGAATCTCTGTGCTGCTCAGATACATCTTGGAAATCCCACACAGCAGCGACTGGGCTGGCAGAAAGGTATTGAAGACATCCCTGCACCATATAGTGTGGATGAGATGGACCTATGTATATGCATGTAGGTAAATGGAGGGTCTTGAAAGTTTAAAGATAAAATTAACATGAACAGGACCACAAGCAAAAATATTCCTATAAACTCAAAGCAACCTTCTATCTCCTTTTCTTGTAGAAATGAGCCCTATGGCACTTAGTGTTGCTTTGCAGGATTAAAACACCACTGGTAAGATAACAGATCTCACTCGAGGCAGGGAAGGAGGCTGAAGACATTTGTGTTAGCCAGCAACATGTATTCAAAATGACCACAGTGCAAATAGATCCCAGAGATCACGTCGCCTGAGTGCAGCAGTGGGGGAGAGCACACCATGCCACCTCCATCGCAGGGACCTGCACAGTGCTCAATATCCGTCCAGAAAATAATTTCCAGAGCTAGATGGTTTGGGATTTATTTCCTACACAGGGGAAAGGAGAAAAAAAGGTGAATCTATCCTAGGCAAGAGGCCTCTTGCCGGCCAGTACCCATAAGGGATGGCAGCATGCCACACTCTAGAAAGAACCCGCAGGAGATGGGAGAAGGAACTGCAGGTCTGATACGAGAGCCCTGGCAAGAGAGTAATTACTTTGGCTTGAGCCAATGCTATTTAACCCTCCTTCCAGGAGGAGTAAATCCAGACACAGCGACAGTCCAATTATGGAAACAACACCGACTTATTCTTTTAATGCCCAGCTCCCTTCAGTACCTGTTAATCAAGTAGGCATTAGTGCGCCTGGACAACGGTCCACATTTGCTCTGAAATTGCAGTCGCTGATGATAGAAAAGCTCTTTCTCTCCTTCCACCCGTTCTGCAAGTCCAAAAGCAAAAACCTCTTCGGTTAGGGAAGCGATGTCTTTGCTTTCCTATGATGTTTGAAGGACCTGGGGAAATCCCACTGGCATTTTGCTTATCCTGCATTTTGCTCATCTTTCTACCTCTGCCCCAAAACACAGAGAGCAGCTGAAGCAACCAAAACTGCAGGGTATCCTCAATGCCACTCAGCTCTCATTGCCTTTAATAGAAGGCTGACTTTCTGAAGCAGTTAAATGTTATTTTATTAGTTGTTTTAAAAACACATTTTCACAGAAACACAGCAACCCATGAGAACAGACAGTGCTAGAGCGAGAAATCACTTGTAAATAAAATATGGTGACAGACTTCATTTTCTGTGCAATATGCAAACAGCTCTCTGTGAGCAACATGCAGACGAAGCCTCCAGCCCTCCCTCCTTCTCTCCCTCCCCAGCAGCTGCCACACTGTTCGCATGTCAGAGAATACAACTGAAGTGAGCTTCAGCTGAAGCCACAAAGACAAATTAAATTAAATGCTCTGGGAAGGCGCTCTCAAAGCCTGGTGGTGCTTTCGGTAGAACCAGGGAGATGGGCAGGAGCCATCTCAGCAGACTTGCTGGGCACGACCCTTCCGAGGAGCACAATAACATGAAGCCCATTGGGTTTCTTGTTTTCAGAGGTTATCATTGATCAGTTTTGAGTTCAATAAGCCAGACCAGAATACGATTGATCTCTTTCCATCACTTCTGAGTACAGTAGAGGAACGCCTCTCCCTGCTGCCTCCCACCCCCAGACCCAACCTCACATTCCCCTTCTGATTATCCTGCTTTAGTGCTCAATATGCCACCTTCCTTTCTCAATATTTAGGGGCTTTTAGCTATTTGACATAATCTACAGCTCTCTTGTCTGGATACATACTTGATGTTTGAGTTATTTAAACAACACAGTGAGAAAACCAATATTGAACTGTCAGCTTTAAGATGTACTTTCCTCATTCTATTTTATTTATTTCCCAGGGGGGGGAAAAAAAAACAAACCATAATCAGTAACTACTGGATTCCTGCAAGGTAATGTTCACTAGTAGGAAAGTAAACCAGCACAGCATAACAGTCAATTTTCTATCTAGCCACAGGGCAAGGTTTATTTGGGAGTTTTATTTTTATAAAAGCAAATGCTTTAAAAATGAAACCAAAATTCTTCCTCTGGGGAATCACTGTTTGGCAGTAGCTCCATTGGAGCTGGAGACATTCCTCCATCTTCAACGTCCATTCAGCAAACTCCCAAAATACCTACAAGTCAGCCTAAAAGTCCCAGAACACTTTTTCCCCTCCCCTCTTCTTTTACCCCCGCTTTTTTGAAAGCTCCTCCCTTGCCCACCCCTCATATCATTCCTCAAAGCACAAACTACCCAATTCTGTCTCCTCTCATTAGTCTGATTCCCCAGTAACTATGAACACGTTTAAAAGCCCGAGAACAAGAGGAAAAAAAACCCGTCCCGCCTGCACAGTCCTCCAAAATAAGGTTGGCTGCTACTCTAACACAAGGTGGTCCATTTTCTGTTATTCTCACAACAAAGAAATTAAACCAAAGCAAGAACAATTTCTCTTGCTGCTGCCTGTGGAAGCACATGAAATTAATTTTGTGCCCTGCGTACTTGATCAGGGGGTTGTTCACCACCAGCACAGCCATAAAGCCAAGGGCACGAGTGTTTTCTAAACCACATTCAGTAATGTGATCCTATAGGTTTGTGAGTTCGTCGTCATCTGTGGAGACTTGGATTAAAAGCCCTCACTACACAAGTGAGAATACCTTAGATAACTTCAGCACAGGATAGACTAACGTAAGAAAGGAACAGCAGAAGTCTTAAGAGTCAGTTCTGAGACTCTGTCAAACAAAAAAGCAGGTTAAAATGATAAAAAAATTTCCCTGGCTTGAAGTAGCTTTATCTCTCAGTGTTTGTTTTCATGACATGAAGGTCACATACAGGTCTTCCCCCACCACGTCCATTTGACAACAAACAAGACCTTGAACATTGCTGCTCCCCGGTAATAGATCCTCAGTAAATGAAGAGTTGCCTCTTTCATTTGTCCATGTTACAGCATGCACGAACACAGGGGAAAAAAATAAAGCACTTGTTGCTTTTACAAAACGTGAGTGAATTACCCAGCTGACTCCCCAAACAGCACAGAGCAGGTAGCAATGGGGGTCTACAGTAAGCTGGGAAGCGTCCAGCTTTTTAATTCCTGTAGTCAGGTCATCATGAAACACATACAAGATTAGATGGCCAAGTTTTCTCTCTCTCTCTTTTTTTTTTTAAGTCTAAAAATAAAATGTCTCAAGTTCATTTGGACAGTGACGTATTCCCCATTAACCCACATTTTCTAATGGGGCTGGAAAATAACTGGAATTTCTGTTGACTTTCCTGTTTGTGATGCAGCACCTTCCAAACAGCTAGAGAAGCTCTGCAAATGAGGCTTTGAGCTTGCTTTCCCATGAAGAAAGTCTAGAAATGCCATTTGACATTACCAAAGGCTTCAGTTTCACTGTTTCTTGCCAACAAAGCAAACTTCTAAGTGCCAGCACTTCAAGTGCAGAAGACTTTGCTGGAACAGATTAGCAAATCGCAGAAATATCACAAATGCAAGTCGAGTGCAGCAGGGTGAAAAGACAGAAGGTATTCTAATGATACTTGTTGAAATGTAAACAGCCTAACTTCTCTCCTCATTGGATTTCATCACACACAAGCCTGAGCTTACGCAAGTGAAAATACAGCTGGAGAGGAGAGTTTGAACAGTCCTGTAACCAGTGAAGAGCTTGAAAACAATATTCATCCAAACACAAGAATATCATATGAACACAACTCAAGAACACATCTCCATTTACAGTTTTGAACAGCAGGTCAAGTGACTCATTCAAAAAAATTTTTGCCACATTTTAAAATAAGTCTTCAGAAGTCATCGATCTGCTTATCTTTCTGAACCACTCGAAGCTAAGACTAAACGAGATGAAGCAATAGCAATTATTCACTCAACTAAAGTCTCAAGCAATCAAGAATTCCTTTTGGGGAAATGTATGTAGACAACAATAGCAAACTCATTGCTTGTAAACCTTCCAAATATAAACAAGCAGTAATTGCAGAGAAAAAACCTCAGTACTTACTGGAAAGGACTGTTGTGAGGAAGATGTAGTCGGAAAAAGAAATGAGTCCACATTCTCCAAGCGCATAAAATATGCTGTCTTCATCGGCAAACTTCTCTCGCTCCTGGGATAATTTCTATTTATTCATCCGACCCACACCCCAAAAAAAGAAAATAAAGCAATCAATTAAATAGAGAAATGGAAAGCTTCATTTGTATCCTTACCACCAACAAGCCATTCCATGTACACACACCCCCACTATCTCCATTCATATTCAGTGGACCTTTTCCAGCCTTCAAATCTGTCAGAAATGCTCTGCAAAGACCAGTGCTTCCCCATCTCAAATGAGGGATAAGGAACTGCACAATATTAATTAGTTGGTTTAGCCTAGCTGGAATACAGATAAATAAAGCTATGTCCGTTTTGCTTAAAATTGTCTGAATCTTTGAGAGATTAGTGTTATGAAAATCAGATTTTTTTAATACAGGATTCAGAAAGGAAATTATCGTATTTCACTAATAGTGTTTTAGTTATACTCTGTTGTAGCAGTAGCCAAGAAAGAACTATTTCACATGAATATAAAGTATGATCGAAGTTATAAAAAACATGTAGTTATCAGAAGCACATGATTCAGGAGTGTGTTTAGCAAGCTCACTAGGAGGACCAGGACCGATATCAATCTCAACCTCTCTCTCTCTCGCTCCAGTTCTTTTTCAACACCTTGTTTTAAGAGAAAATACCACGTTTTATCAGCTAATCTCCCTTACTAAGCTAAAAATCCAAGTCCCTTTGATCCGCTGAAGCTTCAAAGACTGAAAAGGATCCATAAAACTGTTAGGAAATCCACACTGGTGACCCATTTTAAGAACACAGCAGGAGGAGGCACACGCACACACAGAGGAAAATGAAATTAATATAAAGGATAGTAGGCATGGATGAGGTTATTCCACAGAAACCGGGTCATGCAAGCACAGAAGCATGGTGAAAGCAAAGCTGAATTTAGGAACGGTTTTAGGAAAAACCACTGACAAACACCACCACACAAGGGTCCAGCTAGACAACTGTCCCCCACGGTTACCTCTGTCTAGCGGAGATCCCATCATATACAAGATAAAGGAAAGAAAACCGGTTAACCGACAATAAAATAAGCAGGCAAAACATAACATCAAGTTGAACGGTTAGACTTGCGAAGAGCAAGAAAGTTTTGAAGCAACCAGGTCGTTGCCTTGACTGGGCGCTGCTAAGAAGCCTGAGTAGACATCCCAGGAAGAGTTAGCACGTAGCCTCTCCGGGTCAGACCCACTGTCTGCAGCTGACGTCTCTCATCCACCTCAGGGTTTTTGTTTTTGAGAGAACTCACCATTGTATGTGACTGCAGAGTGGGGATGAGCTCAGCTAATAATTTAGATGAAAATTTAACCCGTATCTGGCTCGGAAACCACAAGAAAAAGAGACAAAAATAATCATGTAGATCACCAAAAAATACAGCTTTCAGGAAAAAAAAAGTTCAGCTCTACTGATCAAATAAAACTCTTCCCAATAGCTCGTCCTTTACCATCTGGAGAGCGTCAAGAATTTAATACGAGGTGAATCACTAACAGCAGACAACATGCTAATGGCATTCATTTCATGCAAGATAACTACTATTTATGCTTACGGGATACCAGGTTGAAGTATCATTTACGGAAAAAAATGCTTATGCTTCCCTTCCCATCGAGATAGATCCGAAGCAAAATTACACTGATGCTTATGTTAAGGACAAATAAAGAATGTCTGGTTTTCCTTTAAACTGAAGGCAGGATTTGTGGAGAAAGCAGTTTTCTGTGATTGCTGCCGGCCATGTTGCCAGCAGTGTCTCACCTGCTTGTGTGATTTATTGCCTCTTCCTCCAATTGCCTGTCTTTAGCAGCATTTATCATAAACTAGCTATTAGCATCCTACTTCACCCGCTCGAAGGATCCCATGAAAAAGTTCCAGAGGTTGGTTTATTAATTTTTATGGGTTTCTTTTCTGCACTTAAAATTCATAGTCAGCAAACAGCTTAAAATATTCCTCATAAGCTGAAAACCCCATCCATAAACTAGCAATAAAAGAAGATATTAAATTAATCGCTCTTTGAAATACAAAGGTTTAGACAGATGGGAAGGAGAAGCATTTACTCATTTGCATCTTTGAGCAAACAAAGTAAAATATTTTATTATTTTAAACAAGCATCTACTTGCCAGAGACCTGGGGAAGGGGAACGTACGCTGTCATTATGGTGCCCAGCCTGCCTGCAGCTAATGGGAAAGGGAATTTCTCCCACTGATCTTAGTAGGGGAAAATAACAGCTGACCTGATCAATAAGATTGTCAGGCTCTCAGCCACTAGGAGGACAGAAGTTTAAAAAAATTCACAACTCTCCCATTTATTTTTTTTCTGGCTCACTGAGAAGCTGTGTGTTTGATCGATTTCCATAAAATGCATGGGAAGCTCTCCCCACTACAGGAAAAGCTGAAAGCATCCTTCTCAGGGGTTGTTCTCCACCATTAAACATTGTATTCTACAGAATTATATTATAATCCCCTGGGGGGGGGGGGGGGGGCGTACGGGGGGGGGGGATCAATCTACCTACTTTACAAAGCACAACATGGACTGTTGCGATCCTTCAAAGTTCAAGGTGGAGAAACCTGAAGTCAGTCCTCACTAACACCTAAAACCACTGTCTATAGACCTCCAGCTTCTTTTCCACATCCTACTTTCCTTCCAGCATACTCTACGATACCTTCTAGCCAGAAAGGTAAGGCACAGTATCAGAAACTGTAGGGAAAAAACCCTTTCCAAGCCTCCATCCTCTTTTAGAGATGTCATCTTCACAAATCAGTTATCCACACAATTTCAGGACAACTTTCACATTTCACATCCTTTTGTATCTGAACACAAGCTAATTCTCAAAGTGCTCAGCTAAAACAGTCAAATGTCTTCCATTTAAGAATTTTTTCTATGTTAAATCCATTCCCAAAAACAGAGTAATTGGTTAAGATCATTCAGCACGCCCAAAAAACATTCAAAACTGAGCATTCACGAGTGAGCAAGCCACGGGAAACAGTCTACAAGTATGAAGTATTTTTTAATCAAGCAGTAGATTCATATTAAACAAGCACACAAACAAGCAAACATCCAAATTAACATGTAAAAAGAAAAAGAAATCCAAATGTACCACTGCTTTCAGCACAAGCATGGCTGTGTAAATTCAGGGAAAAGCCACCAGTCCAGTCTCAGTGGAATAAAACTTTTTACAGGCATTCAGGCAGATTATCTTACAATACCAGACATTGACAACAGGTTAAAAAAAAAAAAAGTAATTGCATTTCAAAATACAAAGGTTGGTTTGCCCTTTCCAACTCAGGCTCCAAGCCCAACAAACAGCACCAGAACATGGGTTGAACATCTCAGTAACAGCGACCAACCTCCCCCAAACCCGTGTGCTGTAGGAAACCAAGTTGCATGCCATATGCAGGCAACTCCCCAGACTTGTGTTACAGGCTGGCTGGAGGCAAACAAAGCACCCAAAGATATAACACAAACTTCATATATTCTAACCCAAAACTGATCTACTGTTGGAGCCTCCCTCAAGCCAAGTACATGGTACAGCTTCCAGGTACAAAGGATTTGGGGAAAAAAAAAAAACCCACTGATTCCTTCTATTCCTCGCCAAATATCACCTTTATTTTGGATTTTAAAATTGTTTTCCCAGGGCTGAGTGAAGAGTGAAACATGTTAATACTTAATTATGCAAATCTGAAAAAAAGATGTAGTTTTACAAGTTAAGGGATGCCTTCTCTGCAAAGGCAGAGACGGACACAAGGTGCCAAGCTGGTGTTTGCATTCGTAACACGTTAAGAAAAGCCTTATCAGCTAAATCCTCACAGCTCCACTTCATTTTGCATTTTAGAAACTACTTAATGAGCAGCATTTAATTTGCCACTTTGGGAAGAACACATTCTTGGTAAGTCACTTAAAAGTCAACAGTTTGTGTTTCAATCTGGAGGAGAAAACACACTTTCGGCACATTTATTCACATAACTTGTTTATGTTTCAACATCACCTTTGTACTTATATGCACCAAACCTTCAGGAATTTATCAGCCTTATGTGACCACTCGACAGTGACTTATGCCTTCCAGAACGACAACAAAATAAATATCAAAGTGCATGCAAGATAATGAGTATTTCTCCAGAACCAGAAAGTAATTTTGTAAATTAGTAAGGAATTTTAGATGAACCATAACCATCTTTTATTGACAAATGTCATCATACTCAGTTTGTTCCTTTTTAAAAGAAATACTTTAAGGTTACCAGTATTGTGTAAGCAACTACAAAACCATGAATGTTTCAAACAGTGAAGTCACCTTACTGCAAAGCAATTCTCTTTCAGTCCCAACTGACCACCTTCAGTTATGCAAACCATTTAAAAGACATCTATTAACGTATTTCCTTTATGGTAGCTGTAGACATATAGGAGAAGTTAAAATGCTGTATGTTCAGTGTTAAAAAGTAATATTCTCTTTTCCACAGTAGGAATTTCCAAAAAATCTGTTACACGTTTGCCTAATATGGACAATTTCTTTCTTTGTTTCTGAGTCTTCTGGCTTTATAAGGTAAAGATGACCCTCCATATTATTGCTATTTTGGCATACGTGTCTCTTTACAACTGAAATCTCTCTAAGAAGAGAAAAAACCCCCATATTAGTACTTGTGCACATAACATTAAGCAGTATGCATAGACATGATGCGCTATTAGTCCTGCTCCTACATGGCTTGATACCTTGGGCTTAAATCAGTAGGCAGCACCCCTACAAATAAAAAGCTATTAGGAATCCTTCTAAGGATGGGAAAACAAATCTTTTAGTAAAATTTATTGGACAATCCATTTAATTAATGCATTTTAAACACTCTTTAGCAACTACCACACGTTTTGTTTGACATCTTTGAAAGTATTAGCTGGCATCTGCCATCTTATTAGCACTACGCAACATTTAAACGTGCAGCGACGCGGCTCCTATTTGCCTGGTCCAGCAGAGCCTGCAGGCCAGCATCGTGCTGGCACGGACTACTACAGCTCCTTCCTGAGCAGGACTGTTTAAAATCTGGGGAAATATATACTGAGACACTCGCTGACTAATGCATTTGCAGCAGATGCTCTGTATTAGTCTATCACACAAGACAGGTAAGGGAAAACCCTTAAGAAATGCCAGTGAAAACTGCAGGCAATGAAGCCTGCTACGGTAACTAAAAATATTAATGCTTTGAACTCTGCACCAAAATGCTGAACTGCAGGCTCTGAAATGAAGGAGATTTTTAATTTTTGCTCATTTTTTTGAAGATACAAAGAACCAAAGCCACATATTTAGAGATTTCACGACAACTCATGTTGGCACCTACATTAAGAAAACTGAAATACAGAAATAAAAAGCCTTTCAAAATCAGATTTAAAAATGGAGCCTTTCAGCCCAGATGTTCAAAAGCCTGTTAGGGAAAAAGAGGCAGGGGAGGTCCTTCCACACTGTGAAACAAGGACAAAAAAGGACTTGGGGGAGAATAGAGGAATTTAGGTTTTTTAAAGCTAGCTTTATAATGTGGATGCAAAATATCTTATTTTAGATGCACTGCCTGGGATTTTTTTATACCACTTTTTTATGTATCACTAAATAAGAAAAAAGTGTTTAAGGTTGCGATAGAAATAGCACAAGGACTTTCTGAAACTCGTAAACCTCTTTTTACAGTGGAAAAGTTTACAGTATCATTCCTAGTGGCTCTAGATAATTTACTATGAAGTCTACATACTAACACAGGCAAATGCAAACAGATTCTGCATGACAAATCATGGTGGGTGAGTGTTAGCATAGGAAAATGCTTAAAATCTACTGTTGGCAGATAAATACTGCAGCTTATGACCTTTCAAGAGTATAGTTTAATAAACAGTTTAAAACCTTAGAGTTGGGGGTTATTTTATCTGTATATATACACAGGGGGACAAAAATACAGAGCTGGACATGGATGAAGTTGTTCTGCATAATCTCTCCCTCTGAATTTGAATTCGGAC